GGAACTGTGAGAAACGGATGAGAATAAATTTAATCTAATCAAAGATTAACTTTGAAATTAGATTAAATTTATTCCTACTTTTAAAAACTTAAAAATTCTTTTCTCTCACTTCATCTTAAAAAGTTTTCGATACTGTGATTTTTTTTCTCCGTCTCCTCAGATCTGTCACCGATTTGGAACATTTGTTGAATGCAAATCACATATTCGACAACTAACTGGTGTGAGGCCGTAGTTGGGATGGTTTATTAATTAAATGAAAAAAATGACTGTTATCTTCAACGAACATCACAATGGAACTGTAAGTTGACAAAGGAAATAGATAAGCAACCGTATGAAATGCTGAGAGGTTCAAGTGCTATGATTAAGAAAAGCCTTTTTGTTGCCAAAAATCTCCATGTTGTTATATATAATTTCGTCAATGATTTAGCAATATTGAAACCTAATTGCAAGTTCTTCGTCAATGATTTAGTAATATTGAAACTTAATTGCAAGTTCTTCATCCATACATGCAAGTTGTTTGCTTGTCATATATGCATTACTAATGAAAAGGCTGTTTAGTAAGATGCAAACAGACACAAGTAGAAACGGAGGATTTTATTCACTAAAACAAGACCAATAATAAAGAAATCTTAAAGGAACAATGCTAATATACATATAAAGCAATGGAATGTTAACAATACAATAAAGGCAAGCGAATTTAACCTACAAAAAATACAACAATACCAAGAAATGCAACGAAAATGCAATATCAGAAATGCAACAAAAATACAACAATACCAGAATGGTCATATATGCATTAATACTGAAAATGCTGTTTAATAAGATGCAAGTAGACACGAAGCGAAGGATTTTGTACAACTAAGATAAGAGAAATAATAAAGAAATAGTAGAGGAACAATACTAATATGCCAAAAAAGCAATAGAATGGTAACAATACAATAAAGAGTAATGAATTTAATTTATAGAAAATACAACAAAATAGCAATGCGTAATTTCGCCTTAAAATGAGTTTATCAACCTCCCACGTGATTGATTCTTCATGTGTGATTTCAAATAGGATTTCCACAGGAAAGCTTTATCGCACATAGTGCAGTTGAATTTGGGCCTGCCATTGTCATGAATCTTCATGTAACGTCTTATATTCTGTGACGGCGAAATTTTTCTCGCACAAAGAACAAGCCTATGATTTCCTATTAGCAAGAGTATTAGCGTATGTCTAAGCACATATTAGCGTATGTCTAAGCACATTCGATGAACCGGTGAAATTCTTCCCACACTTCGAACATGAGAACGGCTTCTTACCGTATGAATCATTATATGTGTAAGCAGATTCCTTCCCTGGCTAAAATTCTTATCACATTCCGAAGTGAAGAAGGACTTCTCACCAGTACGAGTCCCTGTGTGTCTATGATGATCATATGTGTCCATTCGCATTTTAACCACTTTTCACCTGTATGAGTCGTACGCTGTGGTTGTTTCCTTTTGATTATTTGGATGTCGGATGTTCCATTTTGATACCATTTAAGCCAGATTTTTTTCTGATTTATTCTTACACTTGTTTGTTCCCTAATCACTTCTGGCGCTGATAGATCTGATGGTCCAATCCAACGGCTCTGCTTGTAGCTCCTCAAATTATATGAAGTTATCAATTTCAAACTGCCTTAAAAGTTTGAAACCTTAGAAATATTGCGGTGCTATCTTCTATTTTTTGAACTTTAAATGAACTTACGATAGTTTGAGTGTCACTCAGTTGGAAAAGGACGAAAATGATACAGGTGAAATGCATATTGATGAGTGTGGTTTCTTGCCAACTCTGAAAAAAAGCATTCAAATTTACTAGTATACTGAATGCTTTTATTCAATCTCAAACACGACAATTTATCCATTCTGGAGATTGGTCACAAATATTCCAAAGTAGATTTCGCGCAAACTTGCACTGTTACAAATTTGATAAAAAGATAATTTGTTTAAAAAAGAGTGTTTATTTATATACTTATTGTGGAGTCCTAAAATCTCGTAACCGAAACACCGAAGAGCAGTTGACATTCTCTGTTGAAATAAATAAAATAGAACTTACTGAACAAAATTTTACAGAAAGCAATTTAACAGATGCCATCCAATCATTTG